TTATCTCTTAAATGGGTGGTTAGTATGCGTTGAAGGCAAAGTTTAATGAAAAATACTGACAATATCCACCGGACATCTTTCTCCTGCTAGGCTAAATGTTGGAAGTCAAATAAAGTAATGCAATGCAGATGCTGGGTGGGGAGTTCAGAAGGCTGTTTAGGTTTTGCAAAAGGGTGTATGACATTTACCCATGGTTGAGTTAGTGGTCGTTAAAAACGGCTTATAGTCCCGTAAAAGTTTACCAAATAAACACAAAGGTAAAACATTTCCAGGAACGCTGTTCTACTGTTATTTAACACACACTACTTGACTTCAGTACAAGAAAACCTCAGAACCTTCAAACCACATTGGCTATAAAACTGTTTTTTTTTTTTTATTTTATCACTGCTCTGGGTTTTTGTTTTGTTTGTTGGAAGGAGAGAAGATACAATACTAACTCAAGTCTTTGTCATTCTCGTTTTTTTTTTTTTTTCCTTTTTGTTTATTCAACAGAAATGTTTCTTCTGGTTTGGCTTAGTCCCAGATTTATTCACTGGTTTTAATATATCTCTGGTTTTCACTCCAAAGCCTGTTCCCTTGTTTACTTAGCTGATTTTTCTGCATTCTTGTGACACACATGAGAGGTATCAGGTTTCAAATCACAACACATGTTGGCAATGTGTATAATTAATGTGTTTTTTTTTCTCGACTGGATGATATTATAATTTGAACTTCAATCTCACAGAGAACCCTGGAAAGACCTAAAAATTAAGGTGATGGCAGGGAGGCATTTAAACCTCAAAGGGTTGTGTACCAACACTGATTTGTGCTTCTCTGTGAGCTTGTGCTTGGTGGATTCAGTGCTTGGTGGATTCAGTGCTTGGTGCATTCAGTGCTTGGTGCATTCAATGCTTGATGCATTCAGTGCTTGGTGGATTCAGTGCTTGGTGCATTCAGTGCTTGGTGCATTCAATGCTTGATGCATTCAGTGCTTGGTGCATTCAGTGCTTGGTGCATTCAGTGCCTGGTGCATTCAGTGTTTGGTGCATTCAGTGCTTTGTGCATTCAGTGCTTGGTGCATTCAGTGCCTGGTGCTTGGAAAAAGGCCTAATTTTTGAGCTTCGTGGCTGACGATCTTCCAATTTTTATTAAATAACTTCTCAGGGGTTCTCTCTACATTTGTATGCTGTAAGATAGTTAAAATTAATATTTATTTTACCAATTTGCTTCATTTTACAAGCACATAATATCCTGCTTCCTTCAGGTTTGGATATTAAGACATATTTTCTCAGCTATCCATGGTATTATTCCTACCAGTAATTTTTTATTTTTATGTCTTTATTCTGGATTTGTTGCTCCTATTTGGTTCTGTCTGTTCCTCAAGTATATCTGTTGGGATTCATAAATCTGAACAGCTATGTTTCACAACGCAGCATAATAGCAGGAGTACTCAGTCTAAGGGGGCGAAGCACACATGTGACTAAACGGAGACCCACCAAGAAAGACAGGGCAGTATCACACTGTGCTCCGATTCTCACAGCTCACACACAAATACCTCAGAAGCACATCGTCTCTCTGAGGTGAGCTTGCTGGGAGAGAGGTGAGCAGTGAGAGATAAACTGATCAGGCAGAAGTCAATATACTGAAAGTGATTATGTGACAGTGCATGTTTGTGTAAAGGTGTGTTTGTCAGCGATAGCAAGCTAAGAGAGACATTGGTGTTCGACAGCCGTCAGGAAGGAGACATTAAGAGAAAGCAGTCAAAGGTAAAGAGAAAGAGGAACACAAAGAATAACCTGAGATTAGACATTCATATGTTGTGAATTTATTAGGTATGAAACAACATATGACACAGTGGCCCTAGCAAAAATATCGCACAACCCAGTTAATTTGGTTTCACTACTTTATTTGAAAACACACTTCTCTGTATTTGCCATGCTTTCTTGTGTTGTTTTCTCAGTCCATTTAATTTAAATACACCTTCAGGGCACTGCAGCTTTAACACTGCAATGAAAGCTATAAAATGTATTTATTTAGCATTCCCCAAAACAACTATTGCATCACACTTGCTGTTGTTTATTTCTGTTTCAGAGACAAAAGAAACAACCCTGGTTTTACCACCAAGATTTTAAATCAGAGAATAAAAAAACAACAAAAAAAAAAAAAACAGGATATTGATGAATTAAATTTTCAAGTTAAGGCAGATGCGACTCAACCATATATATTTTTAATTTATACAATTATCTTAAGTTAAAAAAACACAAAACTGATAGTCCATACCATTTTCGCCCTCTTACATAGTTCTTCTTACGAGTTCTTGTGAGAACCATTTAGCTGAAGTCAAAGTTCTCTTAGGCCAGTGATGACCCACTGCTGATATAAACGCCAGGATTATTTCATTTTTATCAAGTTTTTGGAACCAGGAGAATGTCTAAAACATGAAGAACTCCAGTTCTCAATGACCAAAACGGGACGCTACAATGACAGACTTTGAAATATGTGATTGCACATAAGATTCATCAGTAAACTGAAAGAAAATGGATTTTAAGAGTTCACTAATTGTACTTACATTACAGTATGTAGTTATGATACAGAGCCCATCTGCAGTAGAATCTCCATTTGTTCTCTACATTTTTAATTTTTGACCAAGTTTTTAATTTAGGTTAATCTTTAAATAATTATATGCTGGAATCTGCAGACTGAGGTTTTGTACTCCTATGCTTAGCTTAACCTGCTGTGTTGTTAGGATTTTGACAGCCATGATTAAGATTGACTTTAGCGAGGGGTATTCTTACACATAAAAAACACTTTTTTGCAATGCATCCCCCTAATTGCACGCAAGCACAATTATGAAATCAATGCGCTAATTTTAATGGCAAAAGAGCCTGCATGTGGTTCAGGTATCAAACTGAGACAGGAAAAGCAGAACTTTGTAGAAAACTGTCCTTTGGCATTCAGAGAAAATTTCAAAAAGCAAATAGAGGGTAAGCATTTATGTTAGTAGTAACTGCAGCTAAAATATGCAAATATGTGACCCTGAAAATGACTTGATTATGGCACGTATTGAAGTGTATGAACCATTGTAGAAACCAGCCTTGGATGTTGATAGAAAAAAAGGGGGATATAGCTGTTCTTAATCTGGCTAAGCATACTGTATGGTAATCCGCTCTGGCTCTCTTCTTAGTCTTATTCCTCCTATTTCTATTCACAAAAATGTTTAATCTGACAAAGATTACTGTTTCTCACTGCTCATGTCTTTCATTGTTTATTCCCCCACATGCATTGATATATGAAGTCATGTTCTCTTTGTATTTCTCCCAGCTCATCTTTAACTTTGTAAATACATGGAGACATGGTTAATGGGATTATTTTTAAAGGAAAACATAAGAAATGCAACTGTATATGTATAAATAGAAAAACTTCTTCAATTGTCATTGTCTCAAAAACTGATGAAGTAGAATATATTTCTTCATCTTTGATAGCTCATTGTTGGTATCCACTGATATCAACAATAGAATGGCTTTACTTGAATAAAAAGACAAGATCTGGAAAGCTCTTAGAGCTCAGAACTAAATATGACTGAAAATAAGTTTAGTCACTCAAAGAACAAGAATTTTCCAGTTAATCTGATGGATATGGAGAGATTTTACAAGATGGAGTGAATAGATTTTCATAAGTAAAGATGTGAAATGCTCCTACCAAAGTTGAAGGTATGTTGTTATTAAACCAAAAGGTGTTTGAACAAATTACTGGTTTGAAGATGTGCGCACTTAAGTTATTGTAGTGCTTGTGTATGTATTTCCATGTCAAATTCATCACAAAAACATGGTATTTCAGCAGGTGGATTAAAATTTTAAGCACATGCAAGATGTACTGATTTGTAATTTAAGGCTGACATGTACAAAAAAGATAATTTTAAAGATTTTTTTTTGAGTCGGTATCTTGTTCTCTGGCGTAACCTATCTTTGAAGGACAGGAACAAAGTGATGGGAACTACAAACAAATAGAAGCTAAATGGTAAATCTGAGTTTACTAACAGGCTCTGTGTATCAGACAGGATGATAGTATGCCTTATTTAATCAAGCCTTGGAGGGAGAACATCAGGTTTTTTCTCTGGATTAAGGTTTGCTCTACCAAAAGGACAATGCTGTGTTTTTAGAAGCCTGCTTATCTGAGCATTTCCCAGTGCGTGTTTTGATGTCTGGTAAATTGGCTGCTTGTTCTTTTAAAAGCAATATCCATCTAAGAGTATCAATAAGGGAAACGAAACTGAATTGACAAGAGATCATTGAAGTGCTGTGTGATATGAATGAATGTTGAAGTAAAACAGAAACCAACTGGTTAATAGGTTGTTTTGCACTTGCATTGTATTCATTTCACTTTTTCCGTTTCTAATGAGATTTCTATATGAATGAAAATAAGGAGAACATGATTTTTAGTTTTTTTTGTGAAGCTAAGTGAAGAGCGCTGTAACCTTCTGACTTCTAAGTCATGGTAAACCTTTCGTATTGTGAATTTGGGAGAGTATTGAGATAAGATCAAAAGACATTCTCCTATTTCAAAGCAGAGAAAGTGAGGAAATGTTCGTCTGTGTATCGGAAACGATTGCTCCAAACCATGGTTAAGAGCTAAACTGCCCGTGTTGTGCTTTGTTTTATGTTTTTCTCTTTAAAGTTCAGCCTGATGAAAACCCAGAGCCCAGATGAATGGTTAAGAGCTAAACACAGCATAATTAGCTCTGTTGTACTTGCAGTACTCATGGGAGGACATGTGCATCTGGCCTGTTCTTCAAGGACATCGAAATATGCAGGATTCAGTCACAGCTGAGACACTTGCAGCATTCGAATTAACCTACCAAACAGAAAATTAGGACACTATGTCAACGTTAAGAAGCCATGTGTAATCTCTTTAATTAATGCGGGTGCCAGCAGGTTACTGAGGGAATTGATCTTCTGATTTATTGATAATTAAGGTGCATGATTTTCTAACTTGATGTTTGTCTCTATTTTTCTCCACTTTAGGCTCCGACTACTCTCCCCCTCCCCTTCCTCGGCCTCCTCCAGTTGGCTTGACGAACGAGCACAGAGGCGGCGGTAGCCATGGCGACCACAGCGGTGGGGGAGGAGGGGTCAACCGTGGGGTGGGTGTGGTTGGCCTTGCACCGGAGCACATTCCCACCCCGGGAGCAGCCCTGAGCTGGCAGGCGGCCATTGACGCCGCACGGCAGGCGAAGATGATGGGCAACGCTGCGTCAAGCGGAGGGGCGGGGCTTGGGGTGGGTGGGGGCGGCCCCATTTCCACAGCCAGCTCCACGCAAAGGAAGAGACAACACTACGCTTCTAAACCCAAGAAACAAACCACAACGACGGCCACAAGGCCGCCGCGGGCCCTGCTTTGTCTCACACTCAAGAACCCCATCCGTCGGGCGTGCATCAGCATCGTGGAGTGGAAGTATCCTTTAACCAAACAATAATAAATTACTTTAATCTCTGCTTTGAATGCAGCTCTATAAAGCTTCTTTTTACGCAAGCTTTATGAGAGGCATGGTTACCCCAAACCACTGGACTGTGTTGATCCAGCACGACATACATTTAAGTTTCTGGTTGTTTATGGCAACAGTTGAAGCAGTTTAAGGTTTATGCTTGTGTGAGACGATGTGTAGTTTGTTAGTTTTTTTCACGCAACTTCAAGTCCCACAGAAATGAGCACAATGTAAATCAGGAATAGGAATTAACCATTTTTTCTTAGTCACCTAAATATACATTACAACTTATACAGGAAAGAGATGCTTGATTTACTTTTCCCCAGTTATTTCCCAGAAAGATACATTATGTTTGAACACTTTTGACAAATGTGATAGACAACACTCACAGGCTGGGCCAGATTCATACTGCTGAAAAGGTGTTTTTTCGAGGTGGATTGGTTGACCTACATGCCTGTTGCATTATTTCTTGTTTGAAGCACCTTAGAACAAGAAAACCCCCAGAGTGTTTTATCTTTGAACCCAAAACAACCAAACCCATCTAATTTATTTCATAATAAGAGTGACGTTCTCCCATCTGATTATCTGCCTTCGTTCATTTCTTAACTTTTCTTTTCAATAATTTAATTACTCCTTGTATCTCGTCCCATCATCCGTCTTTCTCTGTCCACGTACATCCCATTTCTTTTCTGTTTTTGTTTTTAAGCTCTAAATCACAATGGCCTGATGTAGCCATGGGGTGATGAATAATAGGAGAGGCCAAGGGAGGTGGAAACGATCAGTGTCACAATCGAAGTAATCAATACTGGGCGCGGGGTCCCCATCAGCGTCGCCTCTGGAATAGCAGAGCTACAAATCGACCTCGGAGGGACAGTAGGAGAGGAAAAGGAGGCGTCAGGGAAATGAGAAGGGCAGGGATGTGGGCAGGACGTGGATGTTGACAGGAGAGATAATGGAGTGGAGAAGCTGAGGTGGGATGGAGGGTAAACAAGAAAAATTATATGGCAGGTGGAGGGCAAACAATCAGTGAAGGGAGGTATTGAAGCAGTGTGATAACCAAGGGAAGTGAAAGGAGAAACGGGTAAATTGGCATTCGGAAAGTTACATTTTAATTGTTTTTGTTGCGTGCTGCATTAAGTAAATAATAAAAGACAGTGAATGTAAAGAAAAAGGAGCATGTTATGAGATAGATTTTCAGCACTTAATTTATGATTTTTTCTTCTTATGGCTCTTTCTCTTACACAACAGCGGGGAATTATCTGTGGCAAGAAATTTGTTTATCATAAATGATTGCGTAATTACTTGTGACATTCTCGCAAAACAGAAAATATATCACAGCGCAATAAAAACTTTACTATGTCCAATTTAGTCCTGCATAATTTTTGATGTTCTGAATCCTATCTCACTACACCTTCGCATATATTTCTAAAAATAAAGTATCCTCCCATGGGATTAGTGATATATTTTTAAGTATGCTAATGTACTTCAGCACTATAAAACTGAAAATATGGATTTTTTTTTCCCCTCACCGGTCACCTTTTGCATCAGTGGATCTAAAAAATAAACAAATAAAGAAAGATTTTATGGAATAGAGAAGCAATAAACCCCGAGGGTCACTTGAGCAGTCAAACCCAATGAAATCATTTACAACTCCTGGAATCATCTATTCACACATATCCACAGGCAGAGATGAAAGAAGATGACAGGAAAAGACCGAAAGATGTGAAAGGAAAAAAGAGCGACACAAACATTAAATTCACCTGTACTAACCAACATGTTAACCGTCATACGTTGTCCTTCTTATTAGCCACTGAAAAGTCGTCATATGGTACAACAAAAGCTGTGTGCAGCCAGTAAAAGCTGATCATAATACACTAGTATGATGTGATGGAGCTGGTTAATGCCACTATTTACAATTTTTATCTTTCAGATCGCCTAAAAATTTCCTCTGACATCTCATTTGTTAAGGGGCTCATCTCCTTCCCAATATAAACAGAAGAATTTAGTCTTTGCTTTTAAATCTAAAACGGAAGCAAAGATGTATAATTAATTGCCATGTTTATGTCAACTGCAATAACTGCAAGCAAACAACCGGAAACACATAAAAATAACTTGGCTAATTATTTGAATCTAACTTCAAAGTGTAAAAATCCCCAACAAACAGTAAAAACCCAAACTTTGTTTAGGACTCCACAGGCCTTAGTTGGCATAAGAAGTGTTAACGTTCCCCAAAGGAAAGGCAGCTATTTGCTGAAGTACATAGTGTGCAGAGGTAACAAACTTTCTACAGAGTCAATAGTTACAGACCTCTAAACTTCATGTGGCTTTCAGATTAGCGCAAAAACAGGGCATGGAAAGTTTCATGAAATGGATTTTCATGACAGAGCCGTTGCACCAAGTCTTACATCACCAAGTCAACATAAGTGTTGGATCCAGTGGTGTAAAGCATCCCCCCGCTGGAGTCCATAGTAGTGGAGATGGGTTCTCTGGAGTGATGAGTCATGACTCTGTCTGGAAATCCACTGAAAATGTCTGGGTTTGGCAGTTGCTTGGAGAACCACAATTGCCCAACTGCACTGTGTCAAACGTAAAGTTTGGTCGGGAGAGGATCTAAGTGTGTGGGCCTGTTTTTCAGAAGTTGTGCTTGGCCCCTTAGCTTCAGGGAAAGGAACTCTTAGTGCTGCAGCATACCAATACATTCTGAACAATGTCCTGCTCTGAGCTTTGTTTGGGAGTTTCTCATTCAAAACAAGATCTGTGAAGACATGGATGAGCTACTTTTGTGTGGAAGCAGAACTTCACTGGCGCGCAGGGAGTACTGACCTCACCCTGACAGAAAACCTTTTGGGGTCAAAAAGAAAGTAAAAAATATTTGTGTCTGATCTCACATGTGTGCTAATGGAAGAATCATGAAACATTCCCATATACACTCTCTTAAATATTATAAAAAGCCCCCCCAGGACAGCTGCATGAAGTGGGCCAACACCATACTGAATGTTGAGGAGAATTAACCGCTCTCCATGCTGAGTTTGTGATGTATGAGGTTGGAGAAGAGTCCATGAGCTGAATTCATGAATTGCATTCATTGTACCAAAATACAGCTGGTCCATTCTGACGTGCTACCTTGAAGAGCTAACAATCAAATGGCATCCCACAAGGGTTTTCCATTCCCTTTGTTTCTCTGAGCTACGCCCTAGTGTGTCATTTCCTCTAAGCAGAGTTCTCCTTTGCATGTCATGTCCTGCTGGTTTAACTAAGCAACTAGCTAAAATAAATAGAAGGAAAACACGGAATTTATTTATTCTCAACAATGTCACTCAACTTCATACGTGTGAAGATAGACAAGCAAGTAATTTTGGCAATATATTGTATTTATGTGTAAGTGAATAAAAAATAAAAAAAAAACTACAAATATATATGTCATTTACACAGATTACCTATATAATATGTGCACTAAAATATCATCATAAAATGTTAACATCAGTATATCTGAGCTTACTTATTGGGTTCTGGTGAGATAAGAGATTATCTGTGCTACTGAGAGAAGCATGAGGTGTTTATGGGAGCCACTTGCCGTATCTGTGAAACAGCTTCTTGGTGTTTGTGACTGGATGCAATCCCACTGGGAAAATATGTCTCGAGTATCTACAGCTGGCTGCTTGAGATGCTTAGCATAATGTTTATGTTAAGTTCTAAAAAGAATTAGAGAGGAAATATCATGTTGTATGGGCTTAACGGTGAAAAACACCTGAGCGTTCATTTCAGATGTGCTACAGTAATATACAGAAGAAACAGTATGACACTCAGCTTCATGTCTTTTTTTCCCCATGCTGTTTAGTTTGATGAGACCTCAGTACAAGAGCGAGTGATTGACCTCAAATATGTCTTGAACCCAGGCTGAAAGATCATATGGTTGAAAGTGATCAAAGGTTCTTAACCCAAATATAAACTACATTTAGAAAAAAACGTTTTTTTTTTCTTTTGTGACTGCAGAGCTGATCCTAAAACAACTATAAGAAATCAAACACTGCAGTTAATCAATTTGGAGGACCACACAGAGTTGCTCCAGAGACTAAATACATAAATAATTTGATTTTTTAAGTGCACTAATTTGAAAAGACAAAGTTACAATAAACAATGTTTAAAAAACAACTGCAATAAGAACAATGAAAAAATGTTTTCTACAAAACTAATGAAACTTGAACAAAAACTTGACTTGGAGGGAGGACAAGTTTTACAAATATGTTTTTTATATCACATTCTGAGTCTACCTTAGTTTAGATGTCCAAAACACTCATTAGAGTCATATATGGCAATTGACATAGTCTTAGGGAGCAATTACGCACGATTGCTAGGTCGTCAAGAAATGTTAGGTGTTGAAGCTTTTAGATTTGTCTTCTGAAATAAGATTGTTCTGCAAGTACTATTTATTCATGGACCTCCCTTGTCCACCTGGAACAAGGGAAGTGGCTTTGGAGTGAGGCAAAAACAAAAGTACAGCCTGCTTAATCTATGTACAATAATCCACCTTGCTATCATTGGAACACATAAAAGAAAGGGGAATTCTAAATTATGTAGTTTTATTATTCTCTGACAGCTAGCTACCAGCTTTGTTAGCCAGCTTCAATCTCCAATCATCCTGGTCACTTGGCTGCCATTTAAACCGTTGTCTAATAAAATAAATATAAATTCTCCTCTGTGTCTGATCTCGGAAGAAATGAATTTGTGTTGAAGTTTTTTCATTGTAACAATGTTGCTTGGCAATAAATCCTGTATTATTTAACATGTTTGTTTTCCCTTAAATGATGCCACATGTCTTAAGAAAATCCATGTGTGGATTGAAAAGCAGAGCTAAGTATGTGGGTTGGGCCCATAAAAACTTTGCCAAATCCTCTCTGCAAATGCCACACTGCTTTCAATAAAGGTAATGTGATGTGTTTGGCGACATCTTCCTCTTTGGAAAAAGACAGACTTGTCATCACTGAAGTCGAGCCTGTATCATCTCCTAGGGACTAAAACCCAACCAGTTTTTGCAAAATGAATAAAAGGTTTTGGACATGCCGTGGTGGCAATACAACCTGTGGTAATGAAATGATTGCATTACCTCCTTAGCATGTGTCAAACTGCTCAACAGAGGCCTGATAATCACCCTTCATGTGTGCAGATACGGTGAAATGCTTAAAACATGCTGGTCAGAAAAAAACATAAATAAATAAAATTGAATGCTTTGTTCTGATGTCACCTTTTGTTGTTCTGCACTGCTGACTTCATTTCTGAAAGCTTACAGCTTTGTAGTATATTTATTTGTGAAGTATGAATGGCCAGTGGCAGCTTAGACAATGACTTAGGTAGAGCATTGAAGATGTTAATAAAAGAGGTTCCTATTGCCAAAATACCTTAATAAATGAACATCATGTGATTGGAGTTTTAAAGTCTAACATTAGATTAATCATAATTGAACATTTCCTCAGGAATTTTTTATAAAAATCTTGTCATCTGACCTCAAAGCTCGACTTCGTAAGCTGTCCTGAGTCTGGGCTGATTCTACATGAGAGAAAATAAAAACTGTTGTGTAGGTAGAACAGACAGGAGGATAGAGTAGAAAGGGAGATAAAGACGGGGAAGAAACAGAACACAGGAGTTGACGGTGGTGGCAGTTTGTAGTTGTGTTGATGAAAACCAGACCTCCTCCATCTCTCGTTCACATTCTCTCCCTTTCTCTGTCTCCTTCTCTTCACTCCCCACTCTCCCTTTCTATCAGAGGCCTGAAATAATGAGGTCACTCCCCTCTCAAGGATCGCTCCAAATAAAAACCCTACGTCTCTCCTCTCATTCCATTGTGGCCTCTCCCTCTCCCTCTCTCCTCTTTTTCTCTGTTCGCATCCCGTCTTCCACGCGACAGGCCTGCTTCTTGTCGCACCCATATTTGGACATGCGTTGTCTCCGAGTTTCCCCCGCCCACACACTTCAAGAGATTCCAAAGTTACTCTAAGTGTCTTATTGTTCACTAAAAGACAAGCTGAAGAGCTCTGGTCTCCCTCAGCAGAGGACCATTGCTTTCTTGATTGTGTATGAATACCTTTTCTTGTGTTAATGTGTAATAGTTATTTGATTAACAAGAGCCATTTCTGTGAAAAAGATCTAAAACCAGAACTGTAAAAAGAAGATTCTAGGTTGAAGAATATCTCTAAGAAGTGAAAAGTTGAGTTTTCCACATCTTGACTTTGGACACTGTGGAGCTGTCATGGTTGATAGACCTCTTTAATGTTGCACTTGGGCCTGGGGCTGCACCTGCAGAGTAGCAGATCGGTGTGGCGGTCACAATCTTTAAGAAAAGGGACTGAAGACTGTTCCATCTATCAAAGGGAACATACTTCATGCTTCTCAACCTCACAGAAAAAGGGTGTGCCGAATGGGAAATGATGAGAATGACCGTCAGCTCCTCTCAGTGTTGAGGACACGGTCCCCAACCGAGAAAAAACGTATACTGCGCCGTCTGTTTACTTTCAGCAGGGCACTTCAAGTATTTTTGTGACTTTCTGATGAAAAATGTTGGGGTAGAACATATAATCCTGGCACTGCTCCGGTTTGTCGTGAAACAAGTTGTGCTGTATAAGGTCTGACCCCTTCTCTGACAAGATGGATTCGTCTGAAGGATGGATAAATTTAGAATTATAGCTGAAGGTGAGAAACTCTGCTTTCCAGGAAGACCTCAGAAAAGAGCCGTTGCTTCTCTACATTGATCAAGTGGAGTCAGTCAAGGTGGTTCTTATAACTGGTCATGATGCCTGTTGGGTACAAACCACCAAGCAAATCAATTTCCCTCCTGTCTCTTGACTTACTGGGATTTCCAGATTAAGCTGCATAGATGAATGATTAGATCTGTTTTGATTGTTTTGTACACATTTTGTCTTGCACTTTACTTTTCCTTAACTCTCCACTCAGACCATTTGAGATCATCATCCTGATGACCATCTTTGCTAATTGTGTGGCCTTAGCCGTCTACATCCCCTTCCCTGAGGATGACTCGAATGCCACCAACTCCAACCTGGTAAGCAGCATATTCATTGCATCGGTTTTCTGACCTGCTGTTCACATTTGCTGCCACTATTTGTTTTTCTTTGCTTTATCTGCTGGGTTTACTTTGCCGAAGTCAAGTCAATTGACTTTGACTTGTCAGAGAAGAATGACACATCCTCTTTGTTTGTTTCGGGGTTTGCTATATATGACTTGTCCATGACAAGCCAGTCTCTCTATAGCATTTCTATTACCTGTCTTAATAATACGTTCCTGCACAAAAGATGTCAGAAGATGTAGAGAAATCGTTTCATTTTGTTGGAAATCAACATGGAACTAGAAGAGAGCAAGAAAGGGAATCCCACCTGAATGACACTAGTTCAGAATTACAGAATTGTTTAGACTTGATTGCTCATATTAGGGTGTGGAGGTAATTGGAGCGCATCAGTTATTCTGAACTTGAATTGCTTTTTGCTTGGATGAAAGAAGATCAGCTGTGAGCTCTTGTGTAGTGCTGATTTCACTTGCTGTAATTGTGTAATTAGAGACAATTTATGAGCAGGGCTGAACAAGTACCTGTGCTGTATTACTAATTTAGAAGGAAGGCTCACTAAATCACAAGATTCACCATTACAGACGGACAGATAGATAGAATCCCAAACTACTGGGTAAACTACTTACCCAGCATGTTAAACTGGCATGTTTGTCATGTCAAATTACTACTAGCATGTACATCTCTACAGCAGTCATACATGCGACAGACTAAAATTCTTACATCATATTTTTAGGACATACGTACAAATAAATGAATTCCCCAGTTCTGACACTAGCTGCCAACCAAGCAGTTGCTTTATAAAAGCTGTGATTATGAACCTGACAGACAGCTGCTGGTTGTGCAGTTTGATGCAACGTGTTAGTGTAATAGACAGGTACGTGGGCTGGATTTATGGTGCTCATTTCCCGTCCAGTCTGCAAATAGCCGCCACTGACTAGTCAGTAATTTGTTAAATGATGTGTTGCTAGTAATGTCACATTGATATCAAATATTAAAACATATTCTTATTGTGGAGTTGTTTTTTCTAAGTCAAATTAAGAAATTTTAATTTCACAAAAACGCCAACTATTCAAAATGTCTTTTTCTTTTAATTTTTTGTGGATCGAAATAAGTTTCCTACTGATTGTCTAGTCTGATATGTAAAAAAATGGACCTAAATATTTTCCCCTAATTTCTGTTAATATTTCAGTTACTTTGTTCTGATGCCAGGTTTTTTTTTAATTTTCAGTGAGGAATGTCATTTTAAAAAACAATGGATTGATTAATTAAAAATTAAGTGTATTCGTATTTCATCAGATATAACTGAGGGAACTTTAGCTCAAATCTTAAATTTGGCCTGAAATATGGTATTTTCCAAGTTTTGTCTTGCTTTTAGTTTGTGTACGTTTTATTTATTACTTTATTGTTTACGTGGAGATTATTGTATCAAATATTTTTGCTAAAGTCTACCCACTGAGTGGGATTTATGTTTTTGTGAGCAATGTGCCGCTGTATGCGTTTTAGAAAAAGTTGGACATTTATCGCTCTGATTATGTGAAGCAGCCATCACTCTGTTTACGCCTTCGCTTCTTTTGAAGGAGGATTATTTTGACACAGGTGCTCATTTTTAATCCCTCATGCCGCACTTTGCGACTTTATCCAAGTTGTCTACTTGGCCGTCTACATCCCCTTCTTCATCGTCTTCATCTTCTTGGATGAAGACGGTGTAGCCTGCAAAGTATTACCAACAGCACAGTTGTCATTTTTAGCTATTTGACTGAATTAATAACCACAACTGCCCCTCTCTTGTTCTGTTTTGCAGTTTGAGAGCAGCTATATGAGTCAGAGTAAATCAACTGAAGGACATTTCTCTATAATATCCAATAGATGGCATTTAAATTCAAACTGATTGAGAGCAAGGCAAGAAGAAAAGCCTGTTTTGTCCTGCCATTAAAAAGATAAGTGTGCTAAACTTCACCGGGACTTTAACTGGAACCATGTGCTTTGATCAGGTGAGACAAAGATTGAGGTTTCTGGCAATAAATGCTCAAATGTAACTGAAGTAAACCAAGGATGTGGTAGAGGATCTGTGATGTTCTGGGTTGGTCTCACTTCTAAAGGCCCTGGGAACCTCGTTAGATTGCATGGCATCATGAACTCATTTAGGATCTAAATCCTACAACAAATCTTTGAGGTAGGCAGAGAAGAAACATCTGAAAATATAAGACGATCCAAGATCCTGGATGAAATAGACAATTTGTTCCACGAGTGTGCCAAATAGTGGGGATTATTAATATTCATAATTATTGGCTAAAGTAATAAAAAACTTTCTACAAACCTTTTTTTTTTTATTTTAAAATATAACCTTATCTCATGACATTTGTTTTTGGCGGGCAAGTTTTTACTCACCGCCACCACAGCTGTGGCTAATTAATTTTAAAACCTTCACACATACAGGAAGCAATGTGAAGATAGATGGGGCAGAGGCTTAACTATGCGGTTGATCTAAGCATCTGTCTGGGTGCTGGTTTGGCAGACCGAGCTGGTTTCAAACAGACAGCGTTTGAAATGGAGAAACGCTGTGATGTGATAACGATTCCAGATTTACAGCGTACATCAAGTTGTTGCAAAGTGCTTACAAGTTAAGAGACTTCAAGAAACATTTGTTCGTCTTTGTTAAGTTATAGAGGCCTTTTTGTCATTCTCATTACGAACATTTGTAAAAACCATGGTGTGTTTTTTTCTGTTGCTGTTTTCGCAACACTAAAACCCAGTTACAGTCCAGGTACTGTGCAGTAAAATGTGTTTTCTCCTTTATAGATTTCTTCCGTTTTTGCTTTTTTGACAAATTTAAATGTGTAAGATCAACAGTCATATCACGGGTAAACAAAAAGCAGTTCTCAAATGATGCTTTCAATTATCACATGAAGAAGGATAGAAGCTGGCCATGTGTGAAAATAAATTGGCCCCTAATCTTCATAGATGGTTGTGCCACTCTTGGTTGCATCAAGCATAGCTGGCAATTGGTCCTTCGCATCACTGTTGACGGATTATTTTGTTAGTTCAAAGTCTAATTTCCAAAAGTCATTTGTTTCTTGTTAAATCATGAACAGACTTTAATTGACAAGTGATGTCTGAAGTACTTAGGATGTTTTTCTGGAGTCTTGTGATCTCTGTTATGTATTGCCAATAAAGGAGCTACCAACGTCATTTGCTTTGGAGTGACTTTGGTAAATCAACCTCTCTGGGAAGTTCACCACGATTACATGTTTCCTCCCTTTGTGGATTTGTGGATAATGGCTCTTAATGGGGTATGCTAAAGTCTTCAAAAACAAAAAAAATGGCTTTGTAATTCTTTCCAGATTCATAGATGTCAGTGATTTTGTTTCTCACCCATTATCTTTCTATTTTTTAGATCTAGAAAGTCTAGAAAGTGCCCACAATAAATTGCTTTGAGATCTTTTAGCCTATTTGAAGAGGAAAAAATATGACTAATCACAAACATTTCATGATTAAACAAAGGTGACGTACTATCATGTTTGTTTGCTTGACATTTTCTATTTACTGAAGTTATCTTTCACAGTAAACTTTATTTGACAGGGGAAAGAAAGCAAAAACAGAACAACATGTGAGGCGTACATACTGTTTCAATAATCTGTGAATTTATAATGTCGTAAGAAGAAAACATATTAATATTTTTATTTTCAGCACACTTATTACTTCTCATCTTTGCATCAAAATGTTGAAAACTACAAGGCGGCTCATTAAATTCCCATCATGTAAGCCCTGAAGCTTAAAATAATGCTCTGAAAGAAAGATCTTATTTCAGGTCACTTGTCAGTCAGTATTTTTGGTATTTGTTTGGTTTTCATATTTTAATATGCATCATGACTGTAGTTTAGTATCTTGGCAATGAGGTTTTATTTACCTCCAAACCTGCAGTATATTTGATTAATGACAGCCCTCCTTATATTTATAAAAAGTCTCTTATGCAACACCAGAGATCTGTTGAATTGCTTCCTGTACAAGATGTCTATTTCAGTCTGCATCCCATAATGCGCTGCTTTGTCTCCTTGACGACATTCCCAATAATAGCAGCAGGAGAGGTTGTCATGGATATGGTAACCGTAGTGATGCTCCTCATGTGCACTTGGTTACAGAGAGAAAAAGCAGGTAGGAACCAAAGTGCAAACAACTCGTCTCTGTCAGGGAGAAAATGTGGGCTGCACTTCAAAACGATTTGACTAAACTGTGGACTTTCTTTTTTCTCCAGATCCTTTTCTTCCATTGCATTTCTTCCCTTCAGTCACTCTCCACAATCGATCTTTGCGAGGTCGATAGGAATGCTTTGAAATCGACAGAGTGATGATGTCATAGCCAAGCAATTAGCAGATCGATGAACCTGATTAGACACTGACTGATGAAGGGCAGAGCCATGGATACAGACACAAAGCTATTTTGACAGTGTGTGTTGGAAATTTGTACATTATCTGATAATTGTCCGACTCAGCCCTGAATCTATATTTCACCTAATCACCACAGTATGGAAGCATGTTACTTCAGTACAAGCTTTGAAAAGGCACAGCTCAGACTCAAATTTTTGCCCAATCTTCTACGAAAACAGCTCAAGCTCAGTCACACTGGATGAAAACCATCACTGAAGATCGGTTTGAAGTCTTTCTTGTATTTTATTAATTACCGAATTAAAAAAATACAATAAAGAAATCAGATTTTTGATATTTTTATTATGAAGATCGAAAGGGAACGGGTCATCTTTTTCCTTCTGGAACTCAGAAAATGTACTCCCAAATGCAGTTTGCAAAACGATCGCTTTGTGAATAAAAACGTTAAGTGTGTGATCGAAAAAACAACAACAAAACGGGACAAACGGAGAGCAATAAAACGCAACCTGCGGGTATAATATAAAGCAATAGCCTTTTTAAATGGTAAAGTATAAAATTAAATTAATACAGTTTCAGTTTGATTTCTGTGCAAATGTC